TTTAAGATGAAGTCTCTTTCATCTCTTTAAGCCTTATCTGTTTAGGAGAAACAGCCCAAGAAGCATCCGCTTGAAAAACACTCATTTGATTTCATTTTCACTGTGCCACCTTCAGCTCATTCCACACTGTCACAATGCCTCAACATGCACAATTTGGCTTATCCTGAGATTGTACAGTTACTGTCAAAATATTCGCCAGAGAAAAGAGATGTACCAATATTTTTAAACTTCAATAAGGAAATGAGAATTGATGTTGCTGTATTAACATTATCCATAGCAGCGCACACACTCTATTTTTTCAGAGTAGAATAGTGAAATGAAATGTGTGGAGCTGTCATTTTAAACTAAGAAGTACTCCAGGAAGATATGAAATCTGTAATATTTGGGAGGGTAGTCTTTAAAGAAGATATTTAACTGTGAAATGTCAAATAAAAACACAAGGTTTCATTTGTTTACTCTTCACTAGATTTCCAAGGTCACTTAGAAGATCAGATGTTTTACCCAGATCTTCTTAGCCTCATTTCCTGAAACTATTCTATAGACAGTTCAGACTCACTGTGGATTTTTGATCTGAAAGAAGCTAATCTTCAGGAAGTGGAAAGTATTTTTAGAATATTTGCCCTGTAAAGAAATAAGTTTGTTTTAACAAGTGCTCTGATTGATAAGTAGTTGTGAGCTCACCACTGAATAGCTGATACTATAGTGACTTTGTCCATGTCTCCAGCCCCAACCCTAGAAAATGATACAGATTTATAGCAGAGGGGGCAGCTTTTGAAAAATTGCCTGATCCCAGCTGAATCTATGAACTGCATGTCAAAAATATAGGACTTGGAACCAGCAGTTAGCATAATGGCTATGTCGCTGGACTCCCATGCAGTCGATCGTGGTTCGCGTCCCGCGGTTCACGTCCCGGACCCGGTGGTTTAAAACTCACGCTGGGCACGTGTGCGTGTGTGCCCAAGATCCCGAGAGGAGAATGGAGGAGAAGGGATTGCGGCATGGCCATCCCCTCTGGGGGGTGATTTCTCACTTTCTGTCTCTCTGTCTCTCTCTGTCTGGCAAGCACACGCGCCCTATAGCAAAAACCTCTCAAAAAAAAAAAATATATATATATAGGACTAGCAAGGATCTGGAAAGTTCCTCCAGTCTTTCCAGACATATATAAGGAACTACTAAATCTGTCTACGGGTACTTTACTTTGGATACCCTCTTATTACTTTTTAAGTACAATTATGAAAACATTATCACATCTTAAATCAAGCATTCCTGGAGAGGGAGGAGTACAATGTTTGTGCAAATGATAAAACTGAACTATCAAGACTAAACTGCAGGCTTGCCCAAGGTACATGGTAGATAGGAACTAACCCAACTCTTGTCATTTTTCTCTTCCTACCACAGTCAAGAAAACCAGGAACATGGTTCAGGCATGAGTTCTAGTCACTTCTCTATTACTATCTAGTTGTGTACCCTGAGTAAATGACAACATTTTTGCATCTAAGTTTTTTCATCTGCAAAATGGGAATAATTCATGCTCTATCTGCCCTACAAAGAATTTATAAGGATCTCACAAGTCACATAGTCAATCCTTGCCTTCCTTGCCCATGCTAGAAAAGAAATGATAAAGACCTTACTACCAAGACAACAGGAAAAGCAAGATCAGACAGTATAGGTGTGAGGGTAAGTAAAAGCCTAAAGTTTGGGCTTATCTTCTAATTAGATGTTACTTTTGTCAAATCAATCAACATCTTTGTTTCTCCATTTCCTCAGCTACACAACCTCTCAAAAAAAAAAAAATATATATATATATAGGACTAGCAAGGATCTGGAAAGTTCCTCCAGTCTTTCCAGACATATATAAGGAACTACTAAATCTGTCTACGGGTACTTTACTTTGGATACCCTCTTATTACTTTTTAAGTACAATTATGAAAACATTATCACATCTTAAATCAAGCATTCCTGGAGAGGGAGGAGTACAATGTTTGTGCAAATGATAAAACTGAACTATCAAGACTAAACTGCAGGCTTGCCCAAGGTACATGGTAGATAGGAACTAACCCAACTCTTGTCATTTTTCTCTTCCTACCACAGTCAAGAAAACCAGGAACATGGTTCAGGCATGAGTTCTAGTCACTTCTCTATTACTATCTAGTTGTGTACCCTGAGTAAATGACAACATTTTTGCATCTAAGTTTTTTCATCTGCAAAATGGGAATAATTCATGCTCTATCTGCCCTACAAAGAATTTATAAGGATCTCACAAGTCACATAGTCAATCCTTGCCTTCCTTGCCCATGCTAGAAAAGAAATGATAAAGACCTTACTACCAAGACAACAGGAAAAGCAAGATCAGACAGTATAGGTGTGAGGGTAAGTAAAAGCCTAAAGTTTGGGCTTATCTTCTAATTAGATGTTACTTTTGTCAAATCAATCAACATCTTTGTTTCTCCATTTCCTCAGCTACACTTAGGAAGTTATCCCAGAACATTTCGAATATTTATTTTGATTCAGTCTATGAGGTTCCACCCTAGTTTCATTTTCTGTGCACCATGCTACCTCTGAGATTCTGCTATACTCCCTAAAGACTGGACCTTACATGCTATAAAAAGGCAAGATATTGACAAATCAGTGGAACACATAGGCAGTCTCACTGTGATTTTTGGGGGGGGAGGGGGCTTGTTTTTGTTTTTGTTTAAGGATTATTAGGAGCCTGTAGAAGCCTAGTGGGATTAAAATCACTGGGCAAAGCATAATGAGGGATAGGAATCGAATTATTTTAAGAACTACTATGAGATTGTCCCTGGCTTGCTTAGAGGAACTCACTAAGTCTTATTAGTCTGCATGATGCCCGGCAGGGACAGCCTCTGTGAAGTGTCCCCTTCTTCCCAGGGATCATTAGTACTGCTTAGCTCTAACCACAGCAGCAAATGTCAGCCACTCAAAGAATCAACTGCTTAATTAGATTTGGAAAACAGAAGGAAAAGGAGAGTTCTCAATGTAAAATGCAGGTCAGTGTTTAGGAAAGGAAAGCTCAGGGCAGAGTAGATGTTTTCCCATTAGCATCTGAAGCAAAATTTGGAAACTTACAGCAAAATTAGCTGGTGCCATAAAAAGCTAGGAAGAGCATCCTTTCTGAACTTGAAGAACAGTTACCCACTGAAGGGATCCTCTTCCCTTAGACTGCTTCCCTCACAGCCTGAATGCAGGGCAGAGCATTTCATTGCACCTCCCTGAGAGAAAAGTGTTGCTCCCTCTGTTATCTCGTAAAACTCAGACACACACACATGCACACACACACACACACACACACACACACACACACACACACACACACACACACACACACACACACACACACACACACACACACACACACACACACTCATTTCAGTCCAGTCCTTGACAGTTCACAAAGAATTTCCAGGCTTCTTGTGTTGGTACATGTATAACACAGTGATAGAAGTGGCCCAACCACAGTGATGCAGGCAGTAGCCACCATTGTGGGATGCTGGAGTCACCTAGGCCAGGTCTAGATGCTGGGTTGGTCTGAATAGACTCCATGTGCCATATGCACCTATGAACCCGGCTGGCTGGGAGGCACAGAGGAAGGATCGTGTAGTGACAAGATTCCAGCAAAGGTATCTCTCTCACTCTTTCTCTCACTAAATAAACTTAAAAGAGAGAGAGAGAAAAGTGAAGTTCAAAACATGTAGGTAATTTGCCCAGTTTCCCAAAGATGAGGGGAAATATAAACCCCAAACCTAAGTCACTTGATAGAAAAGCCAGTACTTTCTCTGCCATTTAGATCTAACCTGTGCTCTTCTAGGTTAATGGTTTTTATTCAGTACTGAAGTATATAAAAAAGTACCAAGGTATATATAAAGAAAAGAAATATGGGGGGCAGCAGGTGGTATGGTGATTAGGGTTCAAGACTCCAAAAAGATTGACTGTGATTTGAGCCCCCAACCTGGCGACTTGTTTTCTCAATTTCTCTCTCTCTCTCTCTCTCTCTCTCTCTCTCTCTGGTTGTCTTTCTCTTTCTCTGGTGAGTGCATGTGCCCTATGGCAAATTAAAAATAATAATGAATAAAAATAAACAAATAATTACATTTTTTAAAAAAAGAAAAGAAATACATATAAATGGTCCCTGATCTCAGGAGATAAAATTTTTATAAGCAAGTCTGCATATTATAAACATCCAACAGAAAGCAAACTTACAGGCGTAGGGGTTCTTAAAAAGTGTTAGAGGGAAATATTGGTCAGAAATTGTGCTAGTGGCTGGAGAATTAATTTTCTAGAGGAAGTCGGTTTGGTGCTAACTTTTTGGGTTCTAATCTCAGAGCATCCACTTTGGAGCATCTGTTGAAACTGCAGCAGATGGAGCAAATCAGAAATGTATTTTCCTTTTTATTTTATCTTTAGCTCCTTAGAGAAACTTGAGCCATGGGGTACTGTGAAGAGAAAATTTAAAGTTCATTTCTATATCATCATTTGTAATATAGACATAAACATTACTTTTTCCTGAGGGAATTATTTCATTCTCCTCTGTCCCCGGTGGGTTTTATAATTAAGCCTTATTGAAATAAAAACTGAAAATTAGACTAAAATGTGATGTTTTCAGAAGAATACTCTGATTTGCATTTTCTTTTTCAGTCTCAATGGACACATGGTCCTCTGATGCCTTTGTTTGAAAACCAAGAAGTTTGTTGTGCTGATTTATCTGTC